ATCAAGAGACCAACAGGAGGCTGAAAAATGTGAGTGGAAAACTATAAGCAATGTTTCTTTTTCTGAGAACTTGATTTGTTGGCCTGTCATTCAGCAATAATAAAACGTAACATAATTTAGCAAACCTCTAAGCCACCAGGATGCCTCTATATTCATTTTTAGATTCATTTTTAAAAGTTGATTTATTTGTGGATCTGCAAAATACAGGCAGACACTAAACATGTTACACAAAATTTATTAATTTATTCTTACATTAATCCCAGACTAAATTATGATATATTTCAAGGTCTTGCCTTTAAACAGCAACCATAAAAGCATTAAAGAGGGTAAGTGTTTAAATTGCTCTCTTTGAGGGAATGTGTGTCCCTAGATGTAATAGATTGGTCATACTGCATTATTTTCCTGCATGTGGCCATTGTACATTCCAACTGCGACAATAATAACTTTCTAACTAACTCTTCTAACCAAAGAGCTGACACATCCATTTGATTGGTATCATGTGTTATAGGGGACCAGCGTCGTTGATGTAGCAATGATTGTTTGCCTTAGTGCCTGATAATGCACACACAAACAGCACCAGAGTATTCTGGATGAGCCTGGAAACAAGAGCATGGCACCAGGTGATATTGCTGTGTGTCAGTGTAGGACTACAACTATCATAACAATCACCTGCTCTAGCACTGCATTGAACATTCATTAGTTAGGGTAAAGGTTTAGCTATAATTGGATATATATGGTCTGGTAATGATATTAAATTTCCACATATAGACATAAAGGTTTGTGTATTAAGCTGTTTTTTTTTTTCTTCACTCCAGGTTCTAATCACCATTTACTGGCTGGGTAGAAGAGCTCAGTGTGACCGTGTCTATGATGGGCCTTACCTGAATTTTAAGGCATTCGAGGGATTATTGGGCACAGCACTATACAAGGTGGGTAATTATGCACTCTGGGCTGTCTTATCTGGGCTGCCATGAAACAGCATGAATGAAATCCTCTTTTACAGCCACTGCCCAGTACATTTCTGTACCCTCCCTGGTATGTAGACTATGTGCAGAAGAATGACTGTTAAAGGCCAAGGGGCCTCAGATTGCTGGCCACGAAAACCAAAGCTACGTTAAGTCATAAATGATCTGATCCCCTGACTCAGCTATTTTAATCTTGTTTACAGCAAGGCACACAGTTCACATAGTGTGCATCTGAAAATAGCTGCCTCTTTTCTTGAGGAAGCCCATTTCCTCCCACTTGTTCATTCAAGTGTTGAATTTGGCACTTTGCTTTCACATAGATTTATAGCTGGTGGTGTGCAAGGCCCCTATAATTCAAATGACTACAGGGATTTTCAGTAATAGCAGTTGGTTTCTGTGCGTTTTACCTACGTTTAGCTATGATAATCCAAGTTCACTGGTACAGGGTTAAGTCTGGGTTTAGTTTGTGGACTTGTATTGTCTAGCAGGATTTAGTGGATTACAGATCTGAAAATCATTTTCTTTTTAAAGTGGTTGACAAGTTTTTGCTTGTTTGTAGCCCTGCTGGTTAAAGTGGCTCCAGGACTTCCTTATGTGTTTATATGCAATAACATTTTCTTCATTCAGTAAACCCACTCATCAAGGGCACATGGAACATGGCACTGTTTGTTATGAGAGAGCTGGCAGCGAATAGAAAACAATGACGTTATCCCGTGCAGCATGCCCCTTATAGACAGTACAGGAGCGTATGTTTACAGAAACCGAGTCTGCAAGAATGAGAGGCCAGACAGTATTATACTTCACACTCTACCTGGGAGATCGCTCACCCACCACACAGACAGTGGAGATAAATATTGTAATTGGCACCCTATTATCTGACTGTGTGTGTTTATGTGTGTATGAAAGGCACTGCAGGAATCATCCAGTCAGAAAGGCAGCAACATCAGAGACAGCGGTTTTGGAGATAACTGGTACTCAGAGCGAGAGGAGCCCTACCATCTGAGAGGAGAAGGAGAAGGCGGACACAGGAGAGACGACTCCCTGGACAGCTTGGACTCTTTGGGCTCTCTGTCCCACAGCATCTCATCTGACACCACACTTAAAGGCAGCAGCGAGGGTAGGAGGCATCATGTCATTTGCATCTACACGCAAACAAGACACACTCATAATCAGACACATCTGCTATTCTGACAAAAACCTGTAAGAACTTCTGTTCTTGACCTTTTTCTTTTTACCCTTCCAAAGCTGACTTAATGGGATTTAAGAGAACCAAGAATGTTTTTTTTTTTGTGATTGGTTGTTTTTGGTTTATTTTAGATGGCTCTCACACCCTACCAGTAGATTCTCATCAAAGTGTCCAGACATTCTCAAACTGTATCTCGGCATGAATCAAGTTCATCTGGCTAGAACTTAAAATATTTGTGAACAGGGAAGATATACCCTATCAGAGCCAGAAAGTTGTCTCCCATTTGTGAAAACAAATACCTATTGCCATCTAGTGGTATGTTTTTGAAAGTCAATATTTTCCATGAAATCTACTCAAGTCCCTGAAGAGGGAAATATTATATGTCAGTGCTAAACACTGTCTGTGATCTTGTTTCATGACAGAAGTGTGGTATGCTTTGAGATAGGGGAAGTGCTGGTCAATGATCTTTGTCCCCCCCTGTAGGAGACGGCAGTGAGACATTCCACAGCTATACACACCGGCTTGTAAATGAGGAGGCCTCCATTCCCCACCCTGCACCCCTCTGTTACTCTTCCAAAGTCACACCAGAACACACAACACCCCCCTGCCCCCCACCCTCCTCGTTTCTCAACTTGTTTATCCTGTCTTTTTTTTTTTTTCATTTCTGCTCCCACTTTCTTTATTTCCCATAATCTGTCTTACCCCTGTTTGTCCTCCCTCCTCTCCTGATCTGTCTATGCTCCAGGTTGTTGCAGTGACACTGAGGCAGACTCTATCTTCAGGATGGCTGAGAACAAGGACTCTCTCAGTTACCGCAGATCGGTTGTCATCACACCGAAGACAAGCGCCCAGTTTAACCAGTTCCTGCCCACTAAAGACAAACCCTCAGGCTACGTGCCTGCTCCGCTAAGGAAGAAACGGGCCGAACGCAATGAGGACAGCCGTCACAGCTGGGCCAACCCCGCATACACAGAGGATGAAGGCACACTCACTAGGTACTGTTAGACTACACACAATAGTAAACACTTGGATCTGTTTGTGCTGTTTTTCTATTTGGCGAATTAATCTTAATTAATTGGTTTGTGCTTCCAATACCTGAATTTTACATTGTCTCCTCTCTCATCACTGTTGACATTTGTGGTGCTGTTGTGTTGTCTGCGCATGGTCGATGCTCGTATGTACTGGTGGTGTTTCATTTTGCTGTGCTGTGGAATGACGACCTCAGTGAAACAAGGCTTTCCTCTGACTGCTATGGCCACAGTCAAGTGTCCCAGAGTGCCTCGCCTGCGGCTCATCTACAGTGGGCCTACGAATATGAAAGTGGCAGCGACTCAGACGCAGATCGACCGGACCCTGACCTTGTTCTGGATGACCTGGCCAGCAGACGCTTTCATAGTCCCTCCCCAGCTCCACCCACCAACTTTGCTGTGCCTATCAGTCCCCTGACAGCGGGAAGGGCATCTGGAGGTAGAGGGGGTCCCTGGCCTAAGGTCCCTATGACTCCTAATGTTGCCCCTCAACAGAATGTGACTTGCCTCAGGTCAGAGAATATGAAGCAACAGTGTGACTTTGATGTGCCTGCCAGATGACCGCAAACTAGAACGCTTCTCTTACCATCAGTTTGCATGGTTAATTGTAACCATGAGCAACATCATTGGTCGTAGTGTGCTGCCTTTAACAAGTTTGGTTTCTCTTTGAATTGTTTTGAGATTGTAGCTGCAGCACGTCCTTAGTTGCTTCTTCTGAAATGTGTGATCTTGGAGGAGTGATTTGAGCTGGCAACATAACTCCTCAAATCAATTTTTGCCTCTTTTACAGTTTGGTTTTGAGCTTGCAGCGGTTTGCTAATCCTTGCGTCATCTATTTGAGGTTGTTGTGCTCGAGGAATATGCTCCTCTTTGCCTGACTGGCGTGGTGTACTGCTTCTGAAAATTTATTTTGACACGTGTCTTGAGCAGCAGCCGGATCAACAGTGGGGAAATGCAGTCCCCTCAGCATGGCTCCGTGAGGGTGGACCACCGCCAGGCCGTGTCCACTGACAGCCTGTTCAGGGAGATTTATGATGAATCTGAGGGTGAGGACGATGAGGTGGGCTATGCTGACCCCATCCAAGATGATGTCTACACCCGCAAGATGGGCATCAAACCCCAGCCTGCTGGCAATGTACCTCATGACAAGTTCTTACCAAAGTTTTGGACCCCTGAAGAAGACGTTCACATACAGAAGATCAAACTAGGCTCTCAGAAGAGACCCTGGTATAAGAAGATGCAAGGATTCAGGTGTGTGAGGGCATTCGAATTCGGAATAATGTAGAATTCTCTCATATACTTTAAATCACTGTTTATTATATTTTACAGAATAGTAATGTCAGGAAATATTCCCTGCTTCTTGCACAACCTTTTCTTCCTTCTCTACCAGAAACATTTGGTCTTGCTATCTTTAAACTAATTGCATGCCAATTTAACTTTTCAGATTCTAAGGTTCAACATTTGGTGTTCTGTCATTCACTGTATTTTCTCTATAGGTTCCTCCCACTTACGTTTCTTTCTCTTTCCCTATATTGCCTCCTGTCTTTCCCTTTTACCCTCTCTCTGCTTCTGCCCCCTGTCCTTCGTCCACCCTGCTGTCCCCTGTCCTTGGCTATAGTCATAAGAAGTCGGGCTCTTCGTCAGATGATTCAGACTGTGACATCAGTCCTTGGCTCTCCTCAGCCCCCTCTCCTTCCAGCAACTCTCCCTCTCACTCCCACACACATGAGGCCTTGGCTCACACCACCCTTGTTGTGGGGAAAAGGTCGATACAGCTGCATGACTGTGACAATGAAGGAATGTTTTAGGCCATCTGGGTTTTATAGGAGAAATGTAATTGGCTCCTTTTGGGGCTGAATTTCTGATGAGCTGCTTTCTAATATACTAATGATAAAATACAGTGTCAAGCTTCTGAAGGTTGCCCTAACTCGCTCTATAAAGCAGTATGCCTGCAATGACCTTAGTAGAAAATAGGTTGTTTTTCAGCATTATCCTATTTTTATTACAGCCGATTCTAGTAAAGATTTTTTTATAGCAACTAACATTGCAGTTTTATTTTGTAGCAGAGTGAATGTAAAATTTTTGATCAACATTAAATCATATATGACCACTATGGCTGCTTGATGTTTCTCTTTCTCCTTTTCTTGCTTTGATCCAGTTCACATGCATGCACTCACGACCTCTCTGTCCTTTTCTCTCCTTTTGCCTACCTGCAGTCCTCATATCCAACCACACAATCCCCCACAGCTCCCCAAGATAGACCCCCCTCGCCTAGAGACCCCCCCTCTGGTATTCGCCCCAGTGGACCCCACCTCGGGTCCCAGACTGGTCAAATGTGAGAGGTGGCCTCTCCTAGGGCGCCAAGACCCCAGGGAGCCCCCAGACCCCTTTGATTACGAGAGCATTAACCCTGATTTGGAGAATGATGACATGTTTGCCAGGCGAACCCTGGCCTTCCAGTCCAACACAGACTTAGCTATGATGAAGACTCATCTGTCTGCCAACCGCCGCCTCTACACATCTGAGCCGCAACTCAACATCATCACCCAACAACACCGCCGTGGCAGCACTGAGGAGAAGGATTTCCCTGATATCGAGCAGGACGATGTGGTTTATCGTAAGGAGAAAACCCAGGCGGCTCAGCAACAGCGGCCACTCTCAGGAGCCCCTGACAACTATGCCCCTATGCCCATCCCAGAGCCATGGGCTCTGCCTCCTGATCTCAAGGCCAGACTCCTCTGCCCTCCATGTCCTCTGACCCAGGATGCAGCAGCAAATAAACAGAATCGGGTTGACAAAGAGACGCGTCCTAAAACAGACGACATGCTAATCCGTAAACTTGGAATTTGTTCTGATCAGGTCCAGAACTCCCTGAGAGGCCAATCAGCCAATCAGATCTCAGTACCTTCTTCCTGTAGTGAAGGTGACCTGCAGAGATGGCAGGCTATCAGGGAAGCCAGTCAGCTGAGATATAAGAAGAGGCTCATGGTGGAGAGGCTGGCCGCTCTGAAGCTGTAAAGCAGATTGCTATAACAGTGCCTGTTAGTTTCTGAGTAGACTTTTTCTTCTATTTTTTGTGTCTTTATTGTTTCTGTGAAAACTCACAAGTGCCATTTTCTTTCTGATGGTGAAGTCTTTATTAAAAAAAGAAACCTAATTGGTACCTTCAGCATTCACTGGATCAGTCATGAGTATTTCAACACAAACAGCAAAGACGGAGCAGCAACAGCTCAGACCTTTTTCTTGTTTTAAATGTTACCTCAAGATTGAAAGAAGAAACTGTAATGAAAGGCCCTATGGCATTGTCATCATATGGCCATTGATTGTGGTGTTCTGCATTATGGAAATATTATTGGTTTTATCTTAGCGACACAAGGTTTGTAAATGCTGAGTGGATGATCAGATTGTGCATTGAACCTAGTGCTACCGTGTTTTTGAAGTGTGATTTTTGAACAAAACTATACAAATCTCTGACATCATCAACCAAATAGTTTTGTGTGTCATGAGCACTGTTAAACAGACCAGCATTTTGTCTTTGGTTTTGTTGTGCAATCAGACAGAGTTTGTCTGTGAATGGAAAAAAAATATTCAACCTTATTAAAGAAGATGACTTCATGACCTTGTGATGGAGTGCATTGAATTGGCCATTTGTTGACCTCACCTAACACCTACAGTAACATGGATCTCACCAGTACACTGTTGTTTTCCTCAGCAGAAGGAACTTCACACTGACATGTAAAGCTCAAAGTGCATCAGCATGAGGGTGTGGAAAGGCTCATGCCTGAGTAATATCCATACATAACGTTCAGAACATGGTGATGGTACAAAGCAGGCCAATTATGTGTAGACTTGACTGTTGAGTCGACATGAAATCCTATATAAATACCGCACAGCTCTGAAATAAGATGCAACTCGTGGACTCCATAGTAACCTGAACACAAGTCTGTACTGCCGTGCCCACATGCACAATGCAACCATTTAACCTGAGTCAAGGCCATCTGGATTTACTTCACTTCCATATGTAAAGCTATGTTTCCAGTGACATCATGTTGGAGTCTCCAGAAAGGCAGCATTGTTTAGAAAAAGACACATGTCTACTACTTCCCCTGCCAAACGTCAGAGAAAGGAAAGATGATACTGCGCTGTAAGCCTACTATATATAGACCTTAAACTCTAATCTCTTCAGTGTATAAAGTGAAAATCAACCGTCATGTTTTAGCTATGTTTCCATACATTTGAAGGCCACCACCTGGGGATGATCTGGTCTGAGAGTCACTAATTGGCCTCAAGCTCTTGACCAGACCCCTCTCACACTCACTCGAAGGCCATTCAGCAGAAATGTGACTTTGTTGTCTGTGGTTCTCTCTGGTTTCCTAGACAGCCGCAAACGCAAGAGAGTATCGACGGGTGAGTTGATATGGGCTCCCGGGAATGTGGCATGTTTACATTTGCTCTGGCCTCTTACAGTCGCACCTCACCGCCTCCTGCTTTTGTGTGGCTGTTCTCACCCCCTAGCTCTTAAATGCTGACAACACAGTGTATTGTATGGCACACGGCCAAGTTCAGGGGAGGGTGGGGTGGTTGTTGCCGCCACAAAGCTCTATTGACGAAGCGAGTGAAAAGATGCATACAAAAGCACGCTGGGTCATTGACCTAAACTGTACTTCAGTGAGAGTTATGACTGAGCACTGGCCTAAAAGCACCCTAATAGCAATATGAGAATGTATGTGAGAATGAGGAGAGCTTTGAGTGACTTTGCTGTTTTGCATGACGGGGAGTGCTGTGATACATGTTACTAACCCACTAAGTTTTTTTCAGATTTTTTTTGTGGTTGACCTGTGTGCTGTGTTTGCAAACTAACACTTTTTCAGCACCAGTGCCAAATACAGTATATGGATGGTAGGGACAAGATGGAATTTGAATTTTGGATGCTATTTTTTTCTGCCGTTTATTTGACACAGTGGTAAGAAAATGGTGAATTCATACTTGGAGTGGAGTAGAAAATTTGCTACCTTTGTTTTTATCCTTATGTAAAGCTGATACGCAAAATAAGGCCCCCCTACACTTGAGCAGCTGATGCCCAGAGTTGTATTTTAACTTTTTTTACTCTTTCTTTCCAAAGGAGTAAATCAACAAGCGATATCAAGGTCGACCCCAGCATCATCAGGCAGGTTCGCTACGAAGAGCTGCAGAAGTATCGAGACCAGATAAAGAACAGTGAGGATAAGTGGCAGGATGTGAGTATAACTGATAGGTGTGCTGCACACTGTCGCTCAAGAATACCTGTTTCCTCCTCCCTATATGTTATACGAATCAAGACAAGCTGACTCTGGCAGAAAGATGGCATAAGGAAGTTTTGTTCCCAACACAGATGTGAAAGGTGAGCACATGATCTATGGGATCTGTGCGGCAATCAGGAAAGCAGGTGTTGTGGTGCAGTCTGTGGCCACGGGGTGAAAAGAGAGCTGTTTCGATAGAAGCCAGAGGCAGACACTGATTGGTGCAGCACTGCCCTCTGGCTATGTACTGTCCTCATTTGCAAATCACAGTGTTTATGGCAGGAAACACCACATGCTGTAAATACTAATAATATACTGAAATTGAAATGATGTTATACAGCCAAATGATGTGAGACAGAGACCCTACAAATTAAAAAATAACTAGACCTAACCAATATGAAAAGTAAACAGTCCATATAGACTTGGGTGCAAGTTATTCCTGGAAAATATTTGCTCCAATTTTAAAAAACAGTAATCCATTACAAGTGCTGATTGTTAGGTAGAAAGATTAAGAGTAATAAAAAGTTATCCACATATATATGACTGGCTGTGACAGAGGGGCGTCTGTCAGCAATCTCATTGGTGTCATGACAAAATAATGGAGTCTTAAAGCAGCATTTAGGTCACAGAGTCCCCAATACACAGGGGAGGTGAGCCGGGAGGAGCCTAAAGCACACAAATAGAACACCTTCAAATGTAGCCATTTCTTTTTTTTTTTGTCTTTCTGTCTCCTTCCCAACTTCACTCCCTTCAGCTGCACAGTTAGCCATGCAACACAACCAGTCTGTTTTATCTAGATCCAAGCCGAATTGTTACAAAATGGTGCATGAGGTGATCTGGGCTTTCTTTTGCTGCAGGACCTGAACAAATGGAAGAGCCGGCGCAGGAGTGTCAACTCTGACATAGTGAAGAAGAAAGAGGAAAGGGAGAAGATAGAGAAGATCACGTATAGCAGCAGAAGGTCGAAGTCCTTCAAGGAGATGGAAGAGGAGAGGTAAAAGGAATTTTATCTCGTATTTTCTGATCCTGGTTTTTACCAAAAACAATGCTCGCTGAATTTGTTTCCCTGTTTGTTTGTTCTTTTTACCCACGGAGGGGGATCCTTTGCTAAGGTAAAAAAGGTGTGGATGAGAGGTTTTGCGGTATTAAACACAGAGACTACAGGATTGTTTGTGCAGGAGTGAATGAATGTAATTGTACCTTCCGTCAATGTGAAAGTGTAATCTAATCATGGCTTACAACCTGCCTCCCATTATTTTGCCCCACCTCTCTCTACCCTACTCTTTTCAACCTGTGTTCTTCTTTCCATTTTCCTCCCTGTCACTCTCCCTTTCCTGTCACCTGTCTCCTTCATCTCCCTAAATTCCTTACCTTTCCATCCTCATTTGTGCTTTTACCCATCACTATCCGCTTTTTTCCTATTTACCTCTTTATCCCATCCCCTTCTCCTCCTCTGTCTTCTCCACAGAGAAAATAAAGGAAAGAACAGCATTGGTAGTCGTCTCGGATCTCTCTCTTACCTGGATGACAGCGAGGACGTATTTGAGACACCTGTTATTGCCCCACGTACCCGAACCCTTCCAACCAAGAGCTACACTATTGACATCCCTTACTCCTCCTCTGAACCTCCTGACTTGCCTCTGAAAGAGGACAAACCTCCCGCTGCTTCCCCAGCTACTGGCAGGGCCGCTTCCCCTCCCACCTTAGAGGAAGCTGACATTGTGGACTGTCCTGCAGGCAGCGACGCCACAAGCACCATCACTCCCGCCATCACTCCCACCAGCCGCAGCATTTTCCACAGATCCCAGCCTCCAGTAGCTGTACCTTTACAGAAGAGTCCGGTCTTAGAACATACGAGCACAGTCAAGACCGAGGAGACCACAATTATCTCCTCTTCTAGCTCCATGCAAAAGGTGCCCGAGCCAAGGCGCCCATTGTCGGGCACACAGACTGAGGTGGGGGCCCCCTCCTATGGTTCTCTGTATAAACAACAGGCACCGCTCAGCTCAAAGGAATCCAAGCCTCCCGGGGTGTCTCTAGTTTCCGCCTCCCTCCCCAGGAGCTACCAGAGATCGGATAGCGCACGGCTTACCTCAGTTGTCACGCCAAGGCCCTTCGGGACTCAGTCATCCCGCTTGTCCTCACTTCCCCGAGCCTTTACAGTGAGTACGAGATCATTCTACAACTAAATACAAACTACCAGTGCAGCACAAGTGGCTGGAGGGCAGGAGGTGACAGTGTTTGTTTGGCAGAAAGAAAGAAATCTTTGTCTTGTTGGTCAGGTACAGTGTAATTTGTTTTGAGTATATCAATGTTACCCCAGAGTCCGATCTGTTTACTGTGAATAACGGAAGAAGCTAGTGTTTTTATAATGCTAACTCAACCATCAGGGATGCTATTTTCAGTCTCCCTCACATTCATTAATGTTGTAGTAAATTTAAGAAAAACAATTTTGTTTAATTGGATCAGTTAGTGAGTATCAGGTGAAGATTATGAACACTCTTGAAACAGTTTCACTTAAAGAGTTGACATGTTCCCCAGCTGATTTCTCCCCATTCCAAAGTATTACAGGTTTAAATTTATCATTATGTAATCAACAGTCCTGCGTTATTCAAGTAAATTTTATGTTCTCTTAATCTTGAGACTCAAACTATGCATTCATTGACAATCTGCATTCACCCCGGACAGATGGACGACTCTAACAAGCGTGTCAACGGCAGTGTCGATGCTTCTGTGAAGATGTCTGTCCCAAGCCGCTATCACCAGTTCATGAACTCTGAGGACGAGACTCGGTCTCATTCCAGCTCGGCCCGCAGCACTGAAGATGAGGAGGAGCAAGAAGACGAGACCACAGCAAAGAGCATCACTTCCACTCAGAGCGTCTCACCTGTCCCTCCTCAGGTCAAGAGTGAAGCCCCAGTCAGTTCTGATCCAGCCAAAGAAACCAGCCAGGTAAATAGAAAAAAATTAATTGGCAATAAAAAATAATACATGTGTACACAAGTCATATTTAATACTGACAATATGTACAGTCACTGAATATATTTGAGACGTTATGGTAAATATGTAGTGAATCCAAATGTGTCATAAAATCTAATTTTTGCTTCAACCTTTTCTTATGAAAAGTTGCTTTAAAATAATTGAATGTTGCACTGCAGGAATTAAAGGATAGCAATAGGTTGGAATTTAATCAACAGCTATAAATGATTAATACCAGGCTTTCTTGCCAAAGCAGACACACAACCTGACATGCTGATCTCCAGAGCGATTGAAAGTCAGGACCACATTTCTGCACTTAAAGCTGTCCCGCGTGTATGTGAATAGTTGTTGCTCATCGCT